ACTCCCTCCTTTCAGCTTCCCAATTTGGTTTTCGAAAGCACTGTTCAACCATTAAAGCCATTCTTAGTTTTCTTGAGGATGCATTAGAGTGCATTGACAAGAGAACCACCGCTCTAGCAACTATGTGTGACTTAACCAAGGCTTTTGACTGTGTAGACGCAGTTATACTGCTTGACAAATTGGAGTACTATGGGATCCGTGGCAAGCCATCACAGCTTATGAGATCATACTTAGCTAATAGGAGACAGATGGTTAGCCTTGATGGAGTAGAATCCCAGGTTCTACCGATTACGAACGGGGTACCCCAGGGCTCTGTCTTGGGCCCTCTATTATTTTTAATCTACATCAATGACCTCCCACAAAATGTCAACAATAGCAAATGCTACCTTTTTGCAGACGACACTACTCTGCTCTCCAAGGCTACCCAACTTGACGAGGCCCACAGTCTCGACCAGGTTAAGTGGTGGTTCTCGCAAACAAGCTCAAACTTAATGAAGCAAAACCAGCAAGCTAAGAATAACATCAGACAAATGGAATGAGACTTCATCATCCGTAAAGTTATTAGGGATCGTTGTGGATAGCCGCTTGACCTGGTCGGAGCATGTGGACCAGGTTTGTACCAAGATTTCCAGACAGATGTTTATCATGCGGCAACTGGCTCAGTGTTTGCACAGACAAACCATGAGAACTGTATACTTTAGCCTCATTCATAGTCATCTGTCGTATGGTATCATCCTCTGGGGTAATTCTGTCAATGCCCAAAAAGCATTTACAATGCAAAAGGCTGCTATACGGATTGTAGCTGGCGTCTCCTACGATCATACGTGCCGCGGTTTGTTCAAAGAGATGCGCATACTGCCGTTAGCATGCCTGCTCATACATGAGACCCTTTTACATGTTCACGCAAACCTGAGTACTTTTTCGATAAGATCAGAGACACACAGCTATAATACAAGATACGCTAATGATATATCATTACCGCAATCTAGGATCGCCATGACACAACACAACAAGATTAATGTGTCGCTTTACAATAACTTTGTTAGATATCATAAGCGGTCCAATATTGAGAAGATGTCTAACAAACAGTTCTCTAGGTTTGTCAAAAACTATTTGTTAAGAAACTGCTTCTATACTGTAAGTGAATATTTAAGTGCATGTGATCCTAGTGATCAGTGATCGTGTGTAGAGCAAGAAGACAGACTCTGTATAAACTTTATCTAGTTTGTGACTTCAAACATATATCTCTATGTATAGGTGGTCAATAAATCGTATGGTATGGTATGGTATATTATTATTATATTATTATTATATTATGATTTATTATTATTATTATAATTATTATTTTAATTATTATTATTATTATTATAATTATTGTATTATTATTATATATTATTATAATTTTATTATTATTATATATTATTATTTTATTATATTATTATTATTCTTATGATATTATATTTATTAATTATTATATTATTATTATTTTATTATTGTAATTATTATTATTATTATTATTTATTATTATTCTTATTATTATTAATAATTATTATTGTGACTTATTATTTAATTATTGTAATTACTATTACAATTATTATTATAATTATATTATTATTATTGATTATTATCATTTTATTATTCACACAACATCCATGGCCAAGGCGAGATTCGAACTCGCGGCCCGGCCGGCCGGCTGATCAGTAGCACGACACTCTGACCCACGCGGCCAACCGAGGTCCCGATTAGATTATATTATTATAATTATTGTAATTATTACTACTATAATATAATTATTATTATTTTTTTTTTTTTTTTTTTTTTTTTTTTTTTTTTAAATCCCACGGCGTCGACTGCTGAGGTCATTTGCCGTATCCCTCCTCCCATATAGGTCATTAATTCTCACCCAGGGGTAGATCTGGGTGCTTCTTTTCGTTTCAGGGAAAGTCTCAATAGCATATTTGATTTATTTGTGTACGTAATATGTATGTTCCTTTCCATCTTTCAGATATTCCCTCAGCAGCTGTTTTGTACATTCGTGTACACACATTCGTATTCAGGCAAGATACACAGGTAAGTAAGTACTTTCCTACAACATGTAGTATAAATACTGATCCATATTTGTTTGTTCCAGGGCATCCCGGATCATAGGTTTCCTATGTGTTGGGTCAATTCGTTATAAAATAAGGTTCGTTCTTCACTTGGAATTACAAAATTATTATTATATTATAGTTATTATTATTATTATAATTATTATAATTATTACTATTATAATTATTGTAATTATTATTATTACTATATTATAATGCTTGTTATAATTATTATTATGATTATTATTATTATTATAATTATAATTATCATTATTATAATTATGTAATTAATTCTAATGATTATTAATTATTATCATTATTATTCTTCTTATTGATTATTATTATTATTATTAGTATTATATTCTTATTATTATAATTATTGAATAATTATTATTATTATTATTATGTTATTATTATTATTATTTTATTATTTTATATTCTTATTATTAATTCTAATTATGTATGATTATTCTATATTGTAATTATTACTATTATATTATTATTATTATATTCTAATCATTGTAATTAAAATTATATTATTATTATCATTATTATTATTACTATAATTATTGTAATTATTATTTTTTTATTATTATTTATTATTCTTATTATTATTCTATTTATTATTATTATTATTTATTAATGATTATTATTTTATTTTTTTATTCTTTAGTATGTAATTATATTATTATTATTATTATTATTATTATTATTATCATTATTATTATTATTATTATTATGCTATTATAACTGTTTTATAGATCTCCTTGTTTAGGAAATCCTTCATTTTTATTGATGCCTTCAATAGTTTACTGAATAGTATTTATTCTAGACATAAGAACTTATTGATACTTGGCGATTTTAATTTAGATTTCAGTAGTAATGTTGAAACAGTGACACACCTTTGTAATATTTCAAATTCATTGGCTTACGTCAATGTATTTATGAAAAACCAGAGTTTACACCTACTTCGGCGTCTTGTTTGGATAATATTTTGACCAACTTGAACAATGATAATATTGAGACAGGGACAATAGATTTAAACATTTCCGACCACTTAGGAATTTTTTGTGATTTTTTTATATTAAAAGATGAGATTCATTCAATCAAACCGCCCAAAAGACGCATTATTACAAAAAAAAGATGGTTTCATTTGCCAACAGAATCCATAGTATGGCGTCCGACATGAACGTAGATTCTAACTCTGCAGATAACATGGCAAATAGTATCTACCGTTTAATATCAAATTGTATCGATAATTGTTTTCCGTTAAAAGCTGTGGATAAGTCAGCTCACAAAGTTAAGTGGTATACGCAGACACTGAAGCAGCTAAGGAAAGATATGGTGAACGCAAAGAGCCAGTTTTCGCATAGCGGGGATGAGCGTGATTGGGAGAGGTATAAGGATACGTAGCATATACCGTCAAAAATTGAAATTGGAAAAAGGAACTTTTACTCTGAAATGATACACCAGGCGGAAAATAAAACTAAAGCAATCTGGAAGATAGTCGATAGCGAGAGAGGCATCAGGAAACAGAAACACACAAACGTCTCAAGTGATGAATTCAATAGTTTTTTCAGTACTATTTCTTGTAAAATTCTTGAGGGCATTGAAAAGCCTATTATTAATTACTTGTATCTCCTCAACCGTACTCCCAAGACACCGCATTCGTTCTTCATGTCTGCGATACTCCAAACAGATGTGAGATGTGCTATAGCACAACTAAAAGACTCACCCTCACTCGACTTCTATGGTATGAACAGTGCTATGTTGAAAATAGCCAGTGAGGATTTCATTGAACCTTTAACAATACTATTTAATAAGTGTGTTAATGAAGGCGTGTGGCCTGATGCTTTTAAATTGTCAAAGGTCATTCCCATTCATAAGAAAGGGAATGAAGATAATCTTGATAACTATAGGCCCATCACAATAATTCCATTAATAAGTAAATTATTCGAAATTGTAATCAAAGAAAAATTAATAAAGTACTTTGAAAAGCACTCCCTCCTTTCAGCTTCCCAATTTGGTTTTCGGAAGCACTGTTCAACCATTAAAGCCATGCTTAGTTTTCTTGAGGATGCATTAGAGTGCATTGACAAGAGAACCACCGCTCTAGCAACTATGTGTGACTTAACCAAGGCTTTTGACTGTGTAGACGCAGTTATACTGCTTGACAAATTGGAGTACTATGGGATCCGTGGCAAGTCATCCCAGCTTATGAGATCATACTTAGTTATAGGAGACAGATGGTTAGCCTTGATGGAGTAGAATCCCAGGTTCTACCGATTACGAACGGGGTACCCCAGGGCTCTGTCTTGGGCCCTCTATTATTTTTAATCTACATCAATGACCTCCCACAAAATGTCAACAATAGCAAATGCTACCTTTTTGCAGACGACACTACTCTGCTCTCCAAGGCTACCCAACTTGACGAGGCCCACAGTCTCGACCAGGTTAAGCGGTGGTTCTCCGCAAACAAGCTCAAACTTAATGAAGCGAAAACCAGTACGCTAAGAATAACTTCCGACAAATGGAATGAGACTTCATCATCCGTAAAGTTATTAGGGATCGTTGTGGATAGCCGCTTGACCTGGTCGGAGCATGTGGACCAGGTGTGTACCAAGATCTCCAGACAGATGTTTATCATGAGGCAACTGGCTCAGTGTTTGCACAGACAAACCATGAGAACTGTATACTTTAGCCTCATTCATAGTCATCTGTCGTATGGTACATCCTCTGGGGTAATTCTGTCAAGGCCCAAAAAGCATTTACAATGCAAAAGGCTGCTATACGGATTGTAGCTGGCGTCTCCTACGATCATACGTGCCGCGGTTTGTTCAAAGAGATGCGCATACTGCCGTTAGCATGCCTGCTCATACATGAGACCCTTTTACATGTTCACGCAAACCTGAGTACTTTTTCGATAAGATCAGAGACACACAGCTATAATACAAGATACGCTAATGATATATCATTACCGCAATCTAGGATCGCCATGACACAAAACAATAAGATTAATGTGTCGCTTTACAATAACTTTGTTAGATATCATAAGCGGTCCAATATTGAGAAGATGTCTAACAAACAGTTCTCTAGGTTCGTCAAAAACTATTTGTTAAAAAACTGTTTCTATACTGTAAGTGAATATTTAAGTGCATGTGATCCTAGTGATCAGTGATCGTGTGTAGAGCAAGAAGACAGACTGTATAAACTTTATCTAGTTTGTGACCTCAAACATGTATCTATATGTATAAGTGGTCAATAAATGGTATGGTATGGTATGGTATGGTATTATTATAATATGATATTATTATTATTATAATTATTGTAATTATTAGATAATAAGTATAATTTATTATATTAATTATTATATTATAATATATTATTATAATTATTGTAATTATTATATTATTATTATTATTATTATATATTATTATTTTATTATTATATGCTTATATAATTTTATTATTATAATTATTATTATATTATTATGATTATTATATTATTATTATAATTAATTATTGTATAATTATTGTAATTATTACTAAATAATAATCATTATTATTATTATAATTATTGTAATTATTACTATTATAATAAGTATTATTACATTATCATTATTATTATTATTATATATATATTATTATTATTATTATTATAATTATTATTATTATTATTATATTATTTTTATTATTATTATTATTATTATTATTATTATTCTTATAATTATGATATTATTATTATTATTAATTATTGTAATTATTACTATAATAATAATCATTATTATATTATTATGATTATTATTATAATTATTGTAATTATTATTATTATTACTATTATTATTATTATTATAATTATTATTATAGTCATTATTATATTATTATTATTATCTTTTTTTTTTTTCACGCTACAGGACCGTTTTCTATTAGTAGCGGTATCCTATATGGAACGGTTTGACCTCTACACCGGGTCCTCGCCGAGGACCTGAGGGGTACAGATCATTGCAGTTTATGAGCTGGCTATGTTATAACTTTCCTAATTATGTGCGATGTGCCTAATAAGGCGATCTTCTGTAACTGATAGAAATTATGATCTCCTGGTATCCTTTTTAGGTTATCTAGGATGTTGCGAGTGACATATCCAGTTGAACCAATCACTACGGGAATAACAACTGCCTTTGTATGCCACATTCTTTGCACTTCTATGAGTAATGATTTGTATTTTAGTTGCTTTTCAGCCTCCTTTTGTATGACATGTCTATCTGCAGGTACCGATATATCAATTATATAGCATATTTCGGTGGTTTTTATAACAATCTGGTCTGTTTGCTTTTATTTCTCTATCCGTGATAACGGGATGGTCATACATTATTGTGATACTACCATCTTCACTTCGTGTTATCCTGTCGGGGTGATGCTCATACCATTTCGTCGATTTTATTGGACAACCAAGGTGGCGAGACGCTTCTAGATGGATGGCTGCGCAGACATTATTGTGCCTGTCAGTATATTCTTTTGGCGCTAGTATTGGACATGCAGATATTATATGTTCAACAGTTTCATTATGAATGTGACACAATCTGCATTTACCGTCATTCCTCGTCTTGAGTATTGCTTGCTCAATGTAACGCGTTTTCAAGGCTTGGTCTTGTGCTGCCACCAGCAAGCTTTCGGTTTCCCCTTTTAAATCTCCGTATTGTAACCATCCAAATGACAGTTTAAGTCAACCGGAAGCTCCTCCATTTGACGGATATGCTGTCCGTGTAGAGGCTTACTCCGCCATTTCTCTTCGACACATTGCTTCAAGTACAGTTTGATGGACCTGTTACCTCGCTCGACCGTGTGTCCGGTTCCGCAGCTTCTAATTTGATCTTATTACTACGCTTTACAATAGATCTATTTGTTGGTTTCCTATTGTCATGTGCTAGTAACATCTGTAGTAGGCGGTCTTGCTCAGATCTAGTTTGAATATATTGCCCTATTGAGAAGATAGTATTGTTGTACGTTTCTTCTATTTGCTTTAGTCCTCGTCCCCCTTTCTTTCGTGGCACGTATAATCTGTCGATGTCTGCTTTGGGATGAAGGATATTATGTGTTGTCATTAGTTTTCTTGTTTTGCGATCCATTTGTCTTATGTCATCCAATGTCCAATTGATTATACCAAAGCTGTACTGCATGATTGGTATGGCAAGAGCTCCAATTGCTGTTATCTTGTTTCTAGACGTGAGTTGAGTTTGCAGAATTTTACGTACTCTCGTTATATACTCATGTCTAATGTCAACTTTCAGTGAATCGTGGGTGATGTGTGAGCCTTCTTTAATTCCCAGGTACTTGTACACTCCGCCATGCTCTAGTGATTTGATCGACTCTCCTTCATCAACCATTATATTAGCAGAGTCATAGTGCATTCCTCTCCTGAATGTGACTACAGCGCACTTATCGAGACCGAAGCTCATCTGTATGTCGTCGCTAATTTTTTTACAATATTGATAGACGTTTTCAGTTTGTTTTGGCTGGGAGATATGAGCTTCAGGTCATCCATATATAGCAAATGGGAGAGACAATCATTTGCTCCTTTAGTTGGTAACCTAGGTTGGCCTCGTTGAGTAGCGTACTTAAAGGAACCATCGCAATCACAAACAGAAGAGGTGACAAGGTATCACCTTGATATATACCTCTTTTTATCTGTATGGGTCCTAACTCTATTTCTTCCCCATTATTACTGACTAACAGGGTAGTACTCCATAGCGGAATCAATCGCTTACATCAATGATCTTCTCAGATGTTCCTATAAGCTTCAGAGATTTCAGGAGCCAGCTGTGCGGGACGCTGTCGAATGCCTTTCTATAGTCAATCCATCCAATGTAAGATTTTTTTTGTTCTCTTTACAATCTTCTACAATGGCTTTCGAGAGGAGTAGCTGATCCTTGCAACCAAGAGAGCCCTTGCCACAGCCTTTTTGTTCTGTTGGTATTATCTTATTATCATTTACATAATCAGATATTCTGCTGGCTACTACCTTAGTTAACAATTTGTACAACGTGTTCAGACAGGTGATAGGCCATAATTCTTGGGGTCCTTACTATCTCCAGACTTTGGAAGGAGGTATGTTTTACCCTTTGGTAGCCAGTTCGGGATATCTGTTCCGTTATCGAGTAACTATTATATATCATTGTTATTGTTTCGTGTGTGGACACTAGATGTTTCAGCCAGAAATTAGGTATCTGGTCTATACCAGGGGCTTTCCAATTTTGGGCCTGCTGTAGTGCTGATCTGACTTCCACGACACTGATATTTTGCCAGCTCATTGTTGTGACTCTATCCCTTTCTACCTTTTTCAGCCACTTTGCGTTCTCGTTGTGGTTAACACTTTTCTCGAAAATACTTTTCCAATACGTTTCAGTTGTGAGATGGCTGGAGCTTCAATGGGTTCCCTTCTTCCTTCTCGCAGCTCCCTATAAAATGCTTTGGGATTGACATTAAAGAGACTATTTTGCTTGTGCTGCTCTTGTCGATTCTTGTACCTTCTGAGTCTTTGAGCAGTGGCCGAGATTTGTTGTTTCATTACCTCTATCTTCTCTATTAGCGTTTTTCCTTCTGTGACGTATTTGTTTAACAGCATCTTCCCTTTAGCCGACTCTGCGGACAGCCTGCCATTTTGTATGTTAACTAAATTCGATAAGTCTCTCCTGAGGCCCAAAACTTTATTACTTAGCCGCCTCTGCCAGTTAGTGTTTGCTTTGGGGTCCCAGCTATTCTTTTCGCGCTGTCGGTTTTACTAATTTTGATGTAATCACATATGCTGTAGCATAAATGAGGCAATCTATCTTTATTAGGTCTTTCTGTCCCATTGTTTGCAATATGTTGCTAACTATGCAGTTGCCTTCCTCGATGAGTCGCTTTGCTCTTTTACTGGTGTATATTCTGGGCAGACAGTCACGTTCAGATATGCTTTTTCAATCAGGCTTAGATATTTGTCCTTTATTTCTTTGTGCATGTCAGATACTTCAACATGTTCTTCTGATACCTGTGCGACATCGTGATGGTCTACTGTCTTTTCTCTATCGATCGTTTCTTTAATGCTTTCAATCAGTTCATTTATGACTTCTTCTGATAACCTTTTATTCTGTTGGATGTATCTTCTTTGGTTTTGCAGTTTGTTTGCATCGATGTTAAGTCTGGAGTCTGGGTTGCGCCTTCTCCATCTTATAGACTGCAACATAGGTATTCCTATCAGTAAGCCTACAGTAATGATAACACCACATCACTTCTCTCAACTCTTCTTCACTCCAGGGTATTCTTTTACCCCTGGTCTTTTCGGCTGAGATACTTGTTTCCAGTACTTCGAGTAGTCCACTTTGAGTTTCCTCCGTGTGGTGACTATCACGAAGTTGCGGTGTATCATCCCTTCTCTTGTCCAGGACTTGCCTCTGTGTGGAATCCTTTCGCGAGGCAGTGCCACACAATCCACTGGGCCCCGCTACAGGCTCATCTTCCTGACGCTTCCGAAGGGTAGGAGCCCTCACTACACCTGCGCCCTGTTTTCCACTTATTATTATTATAATTATTATTATTATTATTATAATTATGATTATTATTATTATAATTATTGTAATTATTACTATTATAATAATTATTATTATTATTATTATTATTATCTTTTTTTTTTTTTTTTTTTTTTTTTTTTTTTTTCACGCTACAGGACCGTTTTCTATTAGTAGCGGTATCCTATATGGAACGGTTTGACCTCTACACCGGGTCCTCGCCGAGGACCTGAGGGGTACAGATCATTGCAGTTTATGAGCTGGCTATGTTATAACTTTCCTAATTATGTGCGATGTGCCTAATAAGGCGATCTTCTGTAACTGATAGAAATTATGATCTCCTGGTATCCTTTTTAGGTTATCTAGGATGTTGCGAGTGACATATCCAGTTGAACCAATCACTACGGGAATAACAACTGCCTTTGTATGCCACATTGTTTGCACTTCTATGAGTAATGATTTGTATTTTAGTTGCTTTTCAGCCTCCTTTTGTATGACATGTCTATCTGCAGGTACCGATATATCAATTATATAGCATATTTCGGTGGTTTTTATAACAATATCTGGTCTGTTTGCTTTTATTTCTCTATCCGTGATAACGGGATGGTCATAC